CAGGGGGGAAAGTACCAAGCCATTACGACTATATAGCCCTGGGAAGGGGTCAGGATATGGATTTGGGATGGGACGGGGGGGGGGGGGGAAGGAATGGTACCCAACCACTCGTGTTGGTTAGATGTTGGAGGGGGGGGGGGGGCAGTTACGTGGAAATGGAAGGTATAATTCTCTAGTAGAGGTGTGGGTGATTATATAGTTAGGGTAGGGATTATAATGTAGGAGGGATGGGGAAAATGATTTTGGGGCTGGGGGGGGGGGGGGGGGGAGTGATGAAGTGAATAGGGGCAGAGAAAGTGAATTTTCCCAGCCTCTTATTCCTTTCTTAATAATATCATCGTCCCCCGCCAGCCCTCAGCTCTCCCCGCCAGCCCTCAGCTTCCCCCGCCAGCCCTCAGCTTCCCCTGCCAGTCCTAAGCTCCCTCGCCAGCCCTCAGCTTCCCCCGGCAGCCCTCAGCTTCCCCCGCCAGTCCTAAGCTCCCCCGCCAGCCCTCAGCTTCCCCCGACAGCCCTCAGCTTCCCCCGCCAGCCCTCAGCTTCCCGCCAGCCCTCAGCTTCCCCCGCCAGCCCTCAGCTTCCCCCGCCAGCCCTCAGCGTCTCCCGCCAGCCCTCAGCTTCCCCCGCCAGCCCTCAGCGTCCCCCGCCAGCCCTCAGCTTCCCCCGCCAGCCCTTAGCTTCCCCCGCCAGCCCTCAGCTCCCCCCGCCAGCCCTCAGCTTCCCCGAAAAGCCCTCAGCTTCCCCCGCCAGCCCTCAGCGTCCCCCGCCAGCCCTCAGCTCCCCCCGCCAGCCCTCAGCTTCCCCCGCCAGCCCTTAGCTTCCCCCGCTAGCCCTCAGCTTCCCCCGCCAGTCCTAAGCTCCCCCCGCCAGCCTCAGCTCCCCCGCCAGCCCTCAACTTCCCCGCCAGCCCTCAGCTCCCCCCGCCAGCCCTCAGCTTCCCCGCCAGTCCTCAGCTTCCCCCGCCAGCCCTCAGCTCCCCCCGCCAGCCCTCAGCTTCCCCCGCCAGCCCTCAGCTCCCCCGCCAGCCCTCAGCTTCCCCGCCAGCCCTCAGCTTCCCCTGCCAGCCCTCAGCTTCCCCCGCCAGCCCTCAGCTTCCCCTGCCAGCCCTCAGCTTTCCCCGCCAGCCCTCAGCTTCCCCCGCCAGCCCTCAGCTTCCCCCGCCAGCCCTCAGCTTCCCCGCCAGCCCTCAGCTTCCCCGCCAGCCCTCAGCTCCCCCGCCAGCCCTCAGCTTCCCCCGCCAGCCCTCAGCTCCCCCCGCCAGCCCTCAGCTTCCCCCGCCAGCCCTCAGCTCCCCCGCCAGCCCTCAGCTTCCCCCGAAAGCCCTCAGCTTCCCCCGCCAGCCCTCAGCGTCCCCCGCCAGCCCTCAGCGTCCCCCGCCAGCCCTCAGCTCCCCCCGCCAGCCCTCAGCTTCCCCCGCCAGCCTTAGCTTCCCCGCTAGCCCTCAGCTTCCCCGCCAGTCCTAGCTCCCCCCGCCAGCCCTCAGCTCCCCCCGCCAGCCCTCAGCTCCCCCGCCAGCCCTCAGCTTCCCCCCGCCAGCCCTCAGCTTCCCCGCCAGCCCTCAGCTCCCCCGCCAGCCCTCAGCTTCCCCCGCCAGCCCTCAGCTCCCCCGCCAGCCCTCAGCTTCCCCCGCCAGCCTCAGCTTCCCTGCCAGCCCTCAGCTTCCCCCGCCAGCCCTCAGCTTCCCCCGCCAGCCCTCAGCTTTCCCCGCCAGCCCTCAGCTTCCCCGCCAGCCCTCAGCTTCCCCCGCCAGCCCTCAGCTTCCCCGCCAGCCCTCAGCTTCCCCGCCAGCCCTCAGCTTCCCCCGCCAGCCCTCAGCTCCCCCCGCCAGCCCTCAGCTTCCCCCGCCAGCCCTCAGCTCCCCCGCCAGCCCTCATCTTCCCCCGCCAGCCCTCAGCTCCCCCCGCCAGCCCTCAGCTTCCCCCGCCAGCCCTCAGCTCCCCCCGCCAGCCCTCATCTTCCCCCGCCAGCCCTCAGCTCCCCCGCCAGCCCTCAGCTTCCCCCGCCAGCCCTCAGCTTCCCCTGCCAGCCCTCAGCTTCCCCGCCAGCCCTCAGCTTCCCTGCCAGCCTCAGCTTTCCCCGCCAGCCCTCAGCTTCCCCCGCCAGCCCTCAGCTTCCCCGCCAGCCTCAGCTCCCCCGCCAGCCCTCAGCTCCCCCCGCCAGCCCTCAGCTCCCCCGCCAGCCCTCAGCTTCCCCCGACAGCCCTCAGCTTCCCCTGCCAGCCCTCAGCTTCCCCGCCAGCCCTCAGCTTCCCCGCCAGCCCTCAGCTTCCCCCGCCAGCCCTCAGCTTCCCCCGCCAGCCCTCAGCTTCCCCCGCCAGCCCTCAAACTCCCCCCGCCAGCCCTCAGCTTCCCCTGCCAACCTCAGCTTCCCCCACCAGCTCTCAGCTTCCCCCACCAGCCCTCAGCTTCCCCCGCCAGCCCTCAGCTTCCCCACCAGCCCTCAGCGCCCCCCGCCAGCCCTCAGTGCCTCCCGCTAGCTCTCAGCTGCCCCCGCCAGCCCTCAGCGCCCCCCGCCAGCCCTCAGCGCCCCCCGCCAGCCCTCAGCTCCCCCCGCCAGCCCTCAGCTTCCCCCGCCAGCCCTCAGCTTCCCCGCCAGCCCTCAGCTTCCCCGCCAGCCCTCAGCTTTCCCCGCCAGCCCTCAAACTCCCCCGCCAGCCCTCAGCTTCCCCTGCCAGCCCTCAGCTTCCCCCACCAGCTCTCAGCTTCCCCATCAGCCCTCAGCTTCCCCCGCCAGCCCTCAGCTTCCCCACCAGCCCTCAGCGCCCCCCGCCAGCCCTCAGCGCCTACCGCTAGCTCTCAGCTGCCCCCGCCAGCCCTCAGCGCCCCCGCCAGCCCTCAGCGCCTCCCGCTAGCTCTCAGCTGCCCCCGCCAGCCCTCAGCGCCCCCCGCCAGCCTCAGCGCCCCCCGCCAGCCCTCAGCTCCCTCCGCCAGCCCTCAGCGCCCCCGCCAGCCCTCAGCTTCCCCGCCAGCCCTCAGCTCCCCCGCCAGCCCTCAGCGCCCCCGCCAGCCCTCAGCTTCCCCCGCCAGCCCTCAGCTCCCCCGCCAGCCCTCAGCGCCCCCGCCAGCCCTCAGCTTCCCCCGCCAGCCCTCAGCTCCCCCCGCCAGCCCTCAGCGCCCCCGCCAGCCCTCAGCGCCCCCCGCCAGCCCTCAGCTCCCCCCCGCCAGCCCTCAGCGCCCCCATCTCAGACACGCACGCATGCCATCCACTTCAAGAATACTGGAGGAAAGTTAGGAGTTAAGAAAAGTGGCATATAGGATGCTGCGAGAAGACACACGGCCGCGTTATAAGAGCATTATAGGTCGTTGGTGATGGTGAGTCCCTCCGACCTTGTTGGTGATGGTGAGTCCCTCCGACCTTGTTGGTGATGGTGAGTCCCTCCGACGTTGTTGGTGATGGTGAGTCCCTCCGACGTTGTTGGTGATGGTGAGTCCCTCCGACGTTGTTGGTGATGGTGAGTCCCTCCGACGTTGTTGGTGATGGTGAGTCCCTCCGACGTTGTTGGTGATGGTGAGTCCCTCCGACGTTGTTGGTGATGGTGAGTCCCTCCGACGTTGTTGGTGATGGTGAGTCCCTCCGACGTGTTGGTGATGGTGAGTCCCTCCGACGTTGTTGGTGATGGTGAGTCCCTCCGACGTTGATGGTGATGGTGAGTCCCACCGACGTTGTTGGTGATGGTGAGTCCCTCCGACGTTGTTGGTGATGGTGAGTCCCTTCGACGTTGTTGGTGATGGTGAGTCCCTTCGACGTTGTTGGTGATGGTGAGTCCCTCCGACGTTGTTGGTGATGGTGAGTCCCTCCGACGTTGTTGGTGATGGTGAGTCCCTCCGACGTTGTTGGTGATGGTGAGTCCCTCCGACGTTGTTGGTGATGGTGAGTCCCTCCGACGTTGTTGGTGATGGTGAGTCCCTCCGACGTTGTTGGTGATGGTGAGTCCCTCCGACGTTGTTGGTGATGGTGAGTCCCTCCGACGTTGTTGGTGATGGTGAGTCCCTCCGACGTTGTTGGTGATGGTGAGTCCCTCCGACGTTGTTGGTGATAGTGTACAGTGATGCACTATCAATACATATCTTGAGATGATTTCGGGGCTTTAGTGTCCCCGCGGCCCGGTCCTCGACCAGGCCTCCACCCCCAGGAAGCAGCCCGTGACAGCTGACTAACACCCAGGTACCTATTTTACTGCTAGGTAACAGGGGCATAGGGTGAAAGAAACTCTGCCCATTTGTCCCTCGCCGGCGCCTGGGATCGAACCCATTACCACAGGATCACAAGTCCAGCGTGCTGTCCGCTCGGTCGACCGGCTCCCAACCGGAGTGTGTGTAACAAAAATGAGACCTGGTCGAGGACCGGGCCACGGGGACGCTAAGCCCCGAAATCATCTCAAGATAACCTCAAGATTGGCTTGATTAAAAAGTGAAACGTTAGCTTGCAGTAGGATTTCCTTGAGGCTACTGTTAAGGGGATTTAGATGGGGTCAAAGATTCTTAGAAAAGACGTCTAGAAGATCTTAAATTGGAGGGAAGAGCCCCTTCAGTTGCCTGAAAGTGGCTTTAAATTTGTGATAACAAGCATTAAATTGCCGAACAAAAGCTATAGAACCGCTGATTGCCTTGAATTGGTGAACTGAGGCTCAAGACGTCAGTAGAGCAACCTTCAATTGGCTGACAAGGGCCTAGTCCCGAGTCTGGGCCTGGTTGGTGAACGGATCGTACAAGCTCTTCACACACACACACACACACACACACACACACACACACACACACACACACACACACACACACACACACACACACACACACACACACACACACACACACACACACGTGTGTGTGTGCGGTGTGTGTGTGTGTGTGTGTGTGTGCGTGTGTGTGTGTGTGCGTGTGTGTGTGTGTGTGTGCCTCTGTAACCCTTTCCACCACCGACCACGGGATGGGTATGAGGTGCATAATAAAGAAAGAAGAACATAGAGCGCTGCTGGACCTCATCTGTGCTACACTCTGGCTCTTAACATTACTCACGAGCTTTCTTTTTGTGTGTGTGAGTCTGAGGCCGCGACGCTGTAGTATGGTGAGGACAGTGTGGGGGGAGGGGGATAGTTGTTGTGGAAAAGGGGGGATAGTTGTTGTGGAAAGGGGGGGAAAAAATGGGGTGGGGGGTTGAGGCAGGGTGGGTGGGGGGAATGGGTGTTGAAGCAGGGGGAGGAGTGTGCGGGTGCGCTGTGGGTGGTGTTCACGTACTAAATCACAAAATATGTTCACGTATCAAATATGATTCACGTTAAATCACGTACCGCAGGCCATTTTGGTATCAATTGAAATGTGTTGGTGAGCCGAAGTGTTATTCATATCACTGAGAAAGGTCGTGTTCGCGTCTGGTCGTGTACCTGTCTGCCACCTGTTAAACAGTGTTGTCGACTCGGGGCTTGTTTGTTATGACACTGAACGTGTGGGACGTGTTTGGTGGTGGAGACAAGTGTCGCACAGGCGGATGATGTATTGGTTGCCAATGTGGTGGCGGTGGGTTTATGTGTGGTGGCCGCGTACGCATGCTTGTGTATGCGAGTGTGTGCGCAGGGGATGAGTGTGCGGTTGATTGGTGACGCAAGAGCGTGCGTGTGTGCGAGTGGCGGCGAATGCACTAGTGTAGACAGGGGTCGAGTGTAGCAGAGGACGTGTGAAGCCTGTAAAACTAAGGACAAAAATCAGCGAGGGATGGGGAAAGAGAGAGAAAAGAATCTTTTGAAATTTAAACCAATAAAATGTGATAAAACCAAACCAAAAGGGACTGGGATTGCCGAAAATTAAGAGAAAGGTACAACTAAAGGTCACCGAGAAAATGTGGTAGGTGAACAAGGGTCAAAATACAATACTGAAGAAGAGCACTGGAGCATGACTAGCACGCAATAATGTCAATAACCAGCCTCCCAGCTAGTAAATTATTTACAAGACCACAGAGAACGATCATTATCAGCATCACGCAAACATCTCCGAGGTCAGCATTTAAGGCTGTGTATTACGTGTCTTAAACCGAGGGGTTTCCCAGCACAAAGAAACTGTCCGGCTCATTATTATTGTTCTTGGCGAACAAAAACACGTGGTAATTTATCCCGTATAAGAGTGAAGTCTTGGTGCAGTAGCCCACTATCAGCAACAGCAGCAGCAGGATGGCTATAGTGTCGGATGCTTTCACCATTCTGGCATACCTGGTGCCCGTGTGGGTGAATTACAGTGCCAGGAACTTCACCAACGGGTCACTTCACCAGCAGCCAGAGGAGGTGCTTGCAGGAGTGGCGTCCAGACCCACTACATGGTTAGGTAAGGCACGACTCGATGGAGTTTGCACAATTATATTTTCAAAGTCATGTACAGGTGCCAGCAAGCACAGTTAAGTAACTAATGCGAAGACCATCAGGTATATAATGCAAAAGCCATTATGATCCAGATAAATGTTGTGTACAAGTCTATCTCATGACTTCAGACTTTATATATATATATATATATATATATATATATATATATATATATATATATAATATATATTAAATATGGAAGGGAGTACCACCTCTGGTTGGAAGAAGGGGACCCTTAGCCTCGGAGGAAACCACACATAACGCATTAGAGGGAATGTTTAGGTCCCCTCCAATACAGTTTTTGTGTGCTTTTCTCTTACCACCCCCTTCCTTTTATGTTTTTTGTGCTTTATTATATATTTAAAGGTTACAAGATATACATTGGTTGATACAATGAGTGCTTAAAAGTTATAAATCTGGTCATGGTGTAGTGGTTAGCGTATTGGTTATGCCAGGTGAGTGTGATGAATCTGGCTTTCTAAGGTTCGAGTCCGTCACAGGAGAAGAGTTCTTGGTGTTACATATAACGTGTGCGTTATATGTTACATATAACATAACAATGTGACAGTGTCAGGCCACGAATGAAGGGTTAAAACAGTAATTTCTTTAAGTACTTTCGTATTTATTAACACATCTTCAGATGTATATAAAAGAATATAAATTATAAGAATATAAAATTTGTATAAAATAATATAAGTTTACTTTCAATAATGAACATTATTTACAGATTTTTAGAATTGCAATGGGGAATCCTTTATCGTCATTGCTTTCAAATTTGTACATGGAATTCTTCGAAAATAAATTTGTTTCAAAAATTACCCCTGGAATCATTCCAAGGTTTAGATATGTTGATGATATTTGGTGTATATGCTTACAAAATGTAAATTCAGACGAATTTGTAGCTAAACTAAAAACAAAGATCAAGTCAACTCTATAAAATTCACTATCGAGACTGAAATTGATAAATGTTTGCCATTCTTAGCTATACTTGTTTAGGGAAAAATTTTCACTAAAGTTTAATGTTTATAGAAAGCCTATGAATAATTTATCGTATGTTCATTATTTCTCAGGGAATAGATACAATGTGAAACAGTAAATTTTGTCCTCAATGTATCTTAAGTGCTCTTCGGGTTGTTAGTCCAGAATTCTTGGATGAAGAGTTTTAAGAATATTGATTCTATTGGTCTCAAGCTTTGTTATTCACTGAGTTCTTGGAAGTTTGCCGTAGTAAAGCACGTCGTGCATATTATAATAATTTATGCAGTGAGAAAAATTCGTCCAAAAAATGTGTTATGTTTACCATATTTTTCCGAGTTCGAAAATATTGTGAAGGCCTTGAAACTTTTTGATATACATGTATTGTTCAATTACGAGAATACTGTTGGAAAACTATTAGTTAGAAACAGTCCTCGTAGTGATAATTGTCACTTACAAAATACCTTGTTAAGACTAGTAAGTTCTATGTAGGGCAAACGTCCAAAGATTTGAAATAAGAATTTTGCAACAGAAATATTTTGTAAGACTCTGCCATATCTCTAATGCTTTATTTGTTCAATTGTCAGAAACCAGACACCAAACAGAACGACTTGAAGGAAACCAACGTCATCTATGCCTTCAAATGCCCACTTGGGGACTGTAAGCCCCAAAGAACTCAGTATATAGGCAAGACAACAACGTCTCTTTCCAGGCGATTAACAATGCATAAACAACAGGGCTCCATCAAGGAGCATATAATCTCTTCTCACAAGCAGACTATTACCAGAGAAATCCTAACAAATGACATAGAAATCATCGATAGATACAGCGATAGCAGGAGGCTCGACATCTGCGAGGCACTACACATCAAAAAGTCAACACCAGCAATCAACAGCCAATTAATGCACAA